GACTGTTTTATTGCAATTTTGTCTGGTTTGGTATCAGAGTTATGCTGATCTCCTAAAATGAGTTATAAAATGACCCTTCCTTTTTTTATTCCCTGAAAGGATTGGTATTATCTCTTCTATTATTTGATAGAAATTCATCAATGAAGCTATCTGGTTAAAAAATTTTCTTTGTGAGAAGTTCTTAAATTATGAATTAAATTTCTTTAATTCATTTAGAGGTATTTAGATTTTTCAATTGCTCCTTGATTCACTTTTATTTATTTATGATTTTCAATGAATTTGTCTATTTCAATTAAGTTATTCAATTTGTGGGCATAGAAATTTTCATAGTGTACCCTTCTTTACTTTTTTTTTTTAAGTTATAGATTGGGCACATACCTTTATTTATTTTTATGTAGTTCTGAGGATCGAACCCAGTACTAAAGTGCTAAAGCACTCTACAACTCCAGCCACCTTTATTTACTTTCTTTTTGGTGGGGGACTGGGGGACCAGGGATTGAACTCAGTGGCACTCAACCAGTGAGCCATATCCCCAGCCCTTTCTCTTTTTTTATTTAGAGACAGGGCCTTGCTAAGTTGCTTAGGGCCTTGCTAAATTGCTGAGGCTGGGTTTGAACTTTCAGTCTTCCTGCCTCCGCCTCTCCCAGCCACTGGGATTACAGTCACGTGTCACAGTGCTTATTTACTTAAAAAAAATTTTTTTTGTAGTTGTAGATGAATAGCATGCCTTTATTTTATTTGTGTATTATTTTTAAGTAATGCCAAGGATCAACCTAGTGCCTCCCACCCACGTGCATGGCAAGTGCTCTGCCACTGAGCTACAGCCCCAGGCCACTTATTTACTTTTTAATATATATAGAATTGCAATGACAGCCTCTCATTTCTGATATCAGTAAAATAAATCTTTTTTTTTTCAATGTTGTTCAATCTGGTTATAAAGATCAACTTTATTGATCTTTCCAAAGAATTAACTTGAGGTTTCATTGACTTTCTCTGTCTTCTTTAAATTTTATCATTATTATTTTCATTTTCTACTTACCCCAACTTTAATTTGCTCTTAGTTTTCTAGATTAAAGTACAAGCATAGATCAATAATTTTATCTTTTTTTGTTTTGTTACATAAGCATTTAAAGCTACATCTCTCTTTCCTATCTTTAGAGGGCTTTTTTATTTTTACAGCAAACCAACACTGAAACACATATAATTCAACACATACAAACGGTGAAATTTTTTTTTTCACAAAACAATACTTTCTCTTTACAATGTGCAAGGCATGCTGATATTTTTTATTCCATATAATTAAGAAATGCTATTTAAGCTGGGTTGTGCACATGCCTGGAATCCCAGGGACTCAGAGGCTAAGGCAGGAGGATTCCAAGTTGAAGACCAGCCTCAGCAAGTTATTAAGGACCTCAGCAACTTAGTAAGATCCTGTCTCAAAATAAAGAATACAAAGTGCTGGTAATATAGCTCAGTGGTAAAAATCCTCCTGGGTTCAATCCTTAGTACCAAAAAAAAAAAAAAAAAGAAGAAGAAGAAGAAGAAATGCTTTTTATACCTGGAAATGGTGGCACAGGCCCATAATCCCAGTAGCTTGTGACAGGAGGATCATAAATGGAACATAACTTCAGCAGTTTAACAAAACCCTGTCTAAAAATTAAAAATCAAAAGGGGTGATGTTTTAGTCAGCTTTTTCACTACTGTGACTGAAAGACCGAACCAGAACAATTTTAGAGACAAAGAGTTTATTTGATGGCTCATGGTTTCAGAGCTCTCAGTCTAAATTGAAGCTGGGTCCATTTCTTGGGTTAAAAGTGAGGCAGAACATCTTGGCAGAAGAGAGTGTGGTGGAGGAAAACAGCTCTCAAGAAGACCAGAAAGAGGAGAGGAGGGCAAGAGGGAGAATGGAGAGGGAGAAGGTGGGAGGGGAAGATGAGGAAGGGGGAGACTCCACTCTCCAGATACAAAATATATACCCTATAGCCACGCCCCCAATGAACCACTTCCTCCAGCCACACCCACCTGCCTCCAGCTACCAGTTAATCCCATCAGGGATTAATTAACTGATAAGGTTAAGGCTATAGCCCAATCATTTTTCTTCCAAACCTTCTTGCATGTCTCACTGGTGAGCTTTTCAGGGATACCACATATAAACCATAACAGGTGATATTATAGCTCATGATAAAACACCCAGTGTTCAAACCCCAGAACCAAAAAACAATCAAACATGGAAAACATTTATGTATAAAATGAAGAATTGAAAAAAAACTGAATACCAAAATATAGTCCGTTAAATACAAACAATACTGCATCCTCTTAGATAAATGCCATCTTAAAAATCTTTGTAAAGTTTGTGAAACAGCATAGGAAAGCATTCATAAATCAGGAAATATACACACATATGATTACAACTATATAGCAGAAAGAAATTCCACCTGTAGAGGTGGAATGAACAAAAGTGTGTTACTTGCTTTTTCCATTGGGATTAGAGGAGACATTTTTTCCTATTCCTCTGTATTTTCCAAATTCTACTAAATAGTATGCTAACTTAAAAATGAAACATTGACTGAATATGTTGGCTCTTAGGATTTAAAATGGAAAATATACAAAAAAAAAAAAGCACAGGAAGAGTATTTATAGTATGGTTGTAATTCTGTTTCAAGTGTACATTTGTATGATGAAAGAGTGAGAGAATACAGAGAAAAATGTCAGAATACCAAGAAAGGTTGAAAAAAGTGGAATGGTAGTTGAGATTTTTTTTCCTCTTTATTTTTTAGATTTTCTGTAAGTTATTTACTTGTATTTCTTTTGTAATAAAACCTTTTTGATAACTGTACCTAGTTGCAATAGATGAAGTTAATTTCCCCCAGGCTCCCTGTGGTAGAGATATACCTCAGGCTTCATTTCAACAGGCTGCTGGGGCTTGTTTTGTGTCAAAATAATGAAAGGCATATAGGACATTTAAATTCTACCTCGTCATGTTAGGATTTATCAAGCCCTTAGAAAGATAAAAGGCAAAGCTTCTACAGTGGCTTTTCTACTACAGTTGAAAATAATGATGACTGGGCCAAGAAGCCAAGAAACATGGGTTCTATTCTCAGTTCTGCATTTTTGTTCAGGGAGGTCATTTAACCTCATTTCCTAATTCTAAGAGTCAGATTACTAGTCTGTAATTGAAGGTCACATATAGGAAACCCTGCTAAGTAGGGTAGATGCAGAAAATTAGTGGTGGATTTGAGCAAGTTTCTAAAAGTACAAGGGGAAGAACTCAACAATGGGTTGAAACACAAGCATCAAGATTTTTGCAAAAAATCTTAGGGCATAGAACACCCAGGTACTTTGTATACCCTATCTAGCAAAGAACAGAACTTTATGGCTGGTCCTAACTCCCAGCTAAAATGAGGATGTGGAGAAAAATGCAGCTTTGAGTGTTACACTGAGAAAACACCCCAAAAGCTCATTTAGTTTGGCGAGTCAAAGTATATCTCTACCATACTGTCCAAAAGAATTTTGTGAAAAGGCTAGGGATATAGCTCAGTTGGAAGAGTGCCTGCCTAGCATGCACAAGGCTCTGGGTTCAATCCCCAGCACCAATAAAATAAAATAAAATTAAATTAAAATAAAATAAAAAGAATTTTGTGAAATGACAATAATGTTTTAAATCTGTGCTGTTCTCTATGGTAACCACTTGCTATATTGGACCACTGAATACTAGAATTGTGATAAGTGTAACTGAGGAATGGAATCCTAGTTTTATTTATTTATTTATGTACTGGGGATTGAACCAGGGACACCTTAAATGTCTCCAGCCCTTTTTATATTTTGTTTTGAGAGAGGGTCTTGCTAAGTTGCTTTAGCTGGCTTTGAACTTGCCATCCTCCTACCTCCGCCTCCTGAGTTACTGGTATTACAGGCATGCACCACCACACCTGGCTCTTAATTTTAAAATTAAATAGCTACATGTGGCTAAAGGCTATCATATTGAGCCTTTTGTTTGTTGTTGTTGTTTGATCATGGGGATTGAACCAGAGGCTTTACCACTGAGTTACATCCCCAGCCATTTTTATTTTTTGTTTTGAGAAAGGCTCTTGCTATCCCAGCAGCTCAGGAGGCTGAGACAGGAGGATCTCCAGTTCAAAGCCAGCCTCAGCAATGGCAAGGTACTTAGCAACTCAGTGAGACCTTATCTCTAAATAAAATACAAAATAGGGCTGGGGATGTGGCTCAGTGGTTGAGTGCTCCTGAGTTCAATCCCCAGTACGAGAGAGAGAGAGAGAGAGAGAGAGAGAGAGAGAGAGAAAGAAAGAAAGAAAGAGTCTTGCTAAATTGCTGAAGCTGCCCTTAACTAGGATCCTCCTGACTCAGTGTCCCAAATAGCTGGGATTACAGGTCTGCTCCACCATGCTCAGCTGTTCTTATTCAAGCACAACAAAACTTACGCAATGAAAGAAAAATCCTTTTTTTAATATGAAAACTATTGCATTTTATACCTCTTAGTGTGTCTGTGTATGTGTCTGTATGTGTGTGTGCTATGAGTAGTAACTTAATGATTTCACAAGAAGCTAAACAATTCTAAGAATTTTACAGGAATTTACACCCCTTCTAGAGTAACCCTAGAGTAACCACATTCTGGGCTCAACCTGAAAATGCATTCACCTAAAATGATTCAGCAAGCACATTAGCTCCAAGTGACTTTCTAAACTAGGGACAAGGTGAGACAACGCAATTTTGGGCTGAGGCCTTAATCTTAAACTCAGACTAAGTCTGGGTTCTGCAGTTAGGAAGGGCACAGCAATTCTTTCTTTAGCACTCAGAATCAGCTGGTACAGACAACGATGTTCCTAACCTTAGACTGTCCCTAAATTTCCCCTAAGTGCAATAAGTAATATAGTCCTGTAACAGTCAAATTATAGATTTCTAAACTGTACTATAGACCTGGAAATCCAGATATATTCCAACGTCTTCCTACCTAACCCCATTAAGGAAAGAGAGAGTTAACCTAATGCCAAAACAGGTTTATTGGTTATTTTATGCCAAAGAATGTGAGTAATTTGCAAGTACTCAAAATAAAAAAGGCTCGATACAAGCTGCCTCCCTTTTACCCTAAGAAAGTGTACCAACTCCAGGCAAATAGAGTTCAGTCAAACTTTAAGTTCACATAATAGACATACTAAAAACAAATGTAAAGCTCCTGCTTTGTTAGGAAATAAATAAAAACTGCTGAAAGTAAATGAAATAAGAAAAAATTAAAATTGAGATACTGATTCCTATAATAACATCAATTATTGTTTGTCTAAAACATAAGGCCAATAAAACATTCAGAATTTAGGCTTAAAGTTATATTTTAAGAGGAGAAAAGTACTGGCAATTTTTTTGTAGCTCCTCTGGCAGCTCCATACATGTAGGCTAAGAAAAGAAAATGAGCATAGGTTTATGATAGCTAAACCTTTGAATATGGTACTTAAAAATCACTTCTATTATACCTGACAAGAATAGGTACTCTAGAGTCTATTCAAATGTGTTCATATATCACCCTCTAGTTTTTTGTTCATTTGTTTTTACTAAAAAAAGTACTACCAATATTTTTCAGCTATGAATATGAATTTTGCAGATCCCCCTTCAAACAAATCTGAAAGCCAAAACACAAAGCAAAAATTTTAAATGAAAGATCCTTCCTGATACTAAGGCCAAGATTTTTCCCTTCTTCAAATCCTCTTAATCCAAATTATGAGAAATAATTTACTCTGTCCACTGGCAACATTTCTGCATAGTGACATAATCAGAAATTGTATTTCTTTCATTAGTTATTCATTCTCATTCTAACCCAAATACCAGGAACTCAGCAGTAAGCAAGAGGATATAATTTTCCCTGAAGCCTATAATGGAGGCATACAAAACATACAACATGAGAAACTTAAACATTTCGAAAGGCCCTGTATGGCAGAGAAATGAGCCATCTTTATGGCCTCAGGGACAAACTATAAATCCTAAGGCAGATTTAAAGAAGGATTTATCCATGAATCTGTTTTCTCCAAAGCTGGACAGGGAGGGAGTGTGGAAATCACAGCTTTTTTGAAAGGATGAAAGGTATCAGCTGGTGACACTCTGGTTTCCTGAGGAAGAGAAGAAGACACTGAAACTTCTTGCTTTGTGCATGTGAAATCTTCCTTATTTTCCACCATCAATAACTGTTCTATCTCTTCTTTCAAAGAAAAACTTGCCTGGAACTCATCCTTGGGTATTATAAAGTGTTCTTTCTGAGTTATTCTTTGCTCCTTTAACCCTTTTAACTCAGGACAAATGAGTTTGTTACTGGAATTGTCACTGGCTTCTCCTTCCTTTATGGGAGGTAGATGAGACTTCACTGTTGTTTGTTTAGCTCCTTCTTTCAAAAAATTCACATCCTCATGAAATTCCGGAGATGTAAAACTTGGAGCTTTATCTATTCTAGAATTTTTACAAAATAAGAAGCCTCTGACTTTTTCCTCTTTTCCTGTTGTCTCTGCCACTGATTTCTTTGGGCGTAGCTCAGTCCTTATTAGGAGTCCCTTTGCATTCACCTTATATTCTTTTGCAGCTCTCTCTCTGCGCTCCTTCTGGAAGTCCTTGAGTTGAAGTAGCTCCTCTGGAAGCTCCATACATGTAGGCTAAGAAAAGAAAATGAACATAGGTTTATGATAGCTAACCTTTGAATATGGTACTTAAAAATCACTTCTATTATACCTGACAAGAATAGGTGCTCTAGAGTCTATTCAAATGTGTTCATATATCACCCTCTAGTGTCTTCAACTATAATTGTACTATTTTTGAGCAAAAATATTTTGAAAAGGTAATGAGTCCACATGTGTGTGTACACATGTATGTGTAAAGATTATACAGGGAAAGTGAGTCTCCCAACCTGGCCCCAGTTGCCTTAGCAGATGCATCTTCTAAAAAGCTGTTTCTTGTGTAACCTACCAGAGGAAGTCTGCATATATGATTATAAGTGTATACATATACACCTTATTACATGTTTATATTTCCAATGCATTACTTTTTTATTATTTTTGCAATACTAGATATCCAACCCAGAGCCTTGCCCATGGTAGGCAAGTGCATTACTACTGAGTTACACTCCCAGTCTTGATGGCATCTTTGGTTTTTCCCCTAACTTTTAATGTTGGTAACTAAAATCATTCTACACAAATGATACCATACATTATATATTCTTCAGCATCTTGTTTTTGTTTGTTTGTTTTTTTACTAAAAAAAAATGTTTAGGAGATTGTTCCATATTAGCATTTCTAAGGGCTATATGGACATATTGTAACTTACTTAACCAAACCTGTTGTGTCCCCCACCCCCAAATCACACACACACACACACACACACACACAAACAGAGTGACCCACCACTGAGCTATGTCCCCAGGCCTTTTTATTTTTCATTTTGAGGCAGGATTTAGTTACATTGCCCAGGCTGGCCTCAAAGTCCTGTTCTCAGACAATGTTTCTGCTTCAGCATCTCAAATAGCTGCTATTACAGGCACATGTCACTAGGCCCAACTATCACAACAAGTTTGCAAAGTCAAATTTATGAATTTTTTATGTATGAACTTTGAGTATTTTTATGTTACGTTAAAAAATTCCTGTATTAAAATTTTTAAATTATTTTTTCTAATAATTTTCTAATTTCACTAAAATTTTTTTTTAGTAGTAGATAGACACAATACCTTTATTTTATTTATTTATTTTTATGTAGTGCTGAGGATAGAACCCAGTGCTGCACGTGTGCTAGGCAAGTGCTCTACCACTGAGCTACAACCCTAGTCCCATCTAATTTCACTTTTTTATACAACTACTTGATCCAAGGAGTTTATTTTGTTGTAATGAAAGAGAACAATCCAACTCTGGTTCTCCTCCTCTATATTTGTAAATTAATTGCCTAAGACCCTTTACTGAATAATCTCTCCCATTGATTGGAAATGCTAATTTATCACAATCATCTTGGCAAATTGATACTGAGTTTATTTCTTGGCTCTCTACTTCACTCCATTCACCTGCTTAATCATGTATCAGTCAAAAAATGTTTTAGGGCTGGGATTGTGGCTTGGCGATAGAACGCTCGCCTGGCACAGGCGGGACCTGGGTTCGATCCTCATGCACCACATAAAAATAAAGTCATTGTGTTGTGTCCATGCATACCTAAAAAATAAATATTTAAAAAAGTTAATTAAAAAATGTTTTAGTGTAGCTTTGTTTTAATATTTTACAAAGCCAGTCTTCTTTCAGCATACTCCTTTTCCCAAGGTTTCCTGGCTATTCTTGCATATTTACTGGTTTTTACAAAGTCTGTAATGACAATCTGTCATAATAATCCAGGTGTTACTATTTTTATGAGAATAGAATTAAATTCAAAGATTAATTTAGAAATAATCAATAGCTAAAATTTTTTAGTGTTCCCATTCATTTAAGTGTTCTTTTACACTGTGCAGTAATATTAAAATGTTTGCTTCATTTATGTCTTTTTTTTTTTTTTTGGTACCAGGGATTGAACCCAGGGGCACTTAACCACTGAGCCACATCCCCAGCCCTTTTTATTTTTAATTTTGAGATAGGGTCTCACTAAGTTGCTTAGGGCCTTGCTAAGTCACTGAGGCTGGTCTTAAACTTGTAATCCTCCTGCCTCAGTCTCCCGAGCTGCTGGGATTACAAGTATGCGCCACCACACCTGGCAACCTGTATTTTTTGATACAACTATACATAGGGTGTTTTCTCCCATTATATTTTCTAGCTGTTTTTATAGATTTAGAAAACCTATTAACTTTTATATTATTATTATTTTGTTAAATTCTCTTTTTGCTTGTGGCAGTTTTTGTTTGTTTGTTGTTGTTGTTTTTTGGTACTAGGATTTTTTTCCACCATGGAGCTACATGCCCACATTTTTTATTTTGAGACAGGGTCTTGCTAAATTGCTTAGGGTCTCACTAAGCTGCTGAGGCTGGCTTTGAATTTGTGATTCTCTTGCCTCAGTCTCCAAGTTGCTGGGATTACAGGCATGCACCACCATGCCTGGCCCAGTGTATTAGAAAAGTACCCATCCATTCTGACTTTAATCAGTAATGCATGTAAAGGATTATACAGGCTTTGGTTCTCTGGGTAAAGATGGCGGAGCGCGGTTACAGCTTTTCGCTGACTACATTCAGCCCATCTGGTAAACTTGTCCAGATTGAATATGCTTTGGCTGCTGTAGCTGGAGGAGCCCCTTCAGTGGGAATTAAAGCTGCAAATGGTGTGGTATTAGCAACTGAGAAGAAACAGAAATCCATTCTGTATGATGAAAGAAGTGTACACAAAGTGGAACCAATTACCAAACATATAGGTTTGGTCTATAGTGGAATGGGTCCAGATTACAGAGTGCTTGTGCATAGAGCTCGAAAACTTGCTCAGCAGTATTATCTTGTTTACCAAGAACCTATTCCCACAGCTCAGCTGGTACAGAGAGTAGCTTCTGTGATGCAAGAATACACCCAGTCAGGTGGTGTTCGTCCATTTGGAGTTTCTTTACTTATTTGTGGATGGAATGAGGGACGACCATATTTATTTCAGTCAGATCCATCAGGAGCTTACTTTGCCTGGAAGGCCACAGCCATGGGAAAGAACTATGTAAATGGGAAAACATTCCTTGAGAAAAGATATAATGAAGATTTGGAACTGGAAGATGCCATTCATACAGCCATCTTAACCCTAAAGGAAAGTTTTGAAGGGCAAATGACAGAAGATAACATTGAAGTTGGAATCTGCAATGAAGCTGGATTTAGGCGGCTTACTCCAACTGAAGTTAAGGATTACTTGGCTGCCATAGCGTAATGATGAAGTGACTGAACAATCCAGAATTTCAGATAATCTATCTGCTTAAACATGTTTAAAGAATGTTTTGTTTTGCAGACTTTTTGCATACTTATTTCTACATGGTTTAATGGACTGCTGTTTTTAAAAATGACACTTATAAATCATAATAAACTGTTAAATTCAAAAAAAAAAAAAAAGGATTATACAAATTTTTTTCAGCATTTATGAGATAATCATAAATCTTTCTTGGCTCTATGAAAATGGAGAAATATCCTAACATTGAACCATGTTTGGAACTAGAATCCAATAATACATTAAAATAAAAATATATAGGTCTTTTGTAGTTCATAAACATGATAATTAGGTTTTCATGATATTATGTGAGATGTTCCTTCCTCAAGCCTTTCTATGATATTGGCACATTTCTGGTCTGACATGAAAAAAAAAAAAGCAAAATATCATACATTTAAGTGGAGTTTGTATACATCTTTATTTTATTTATTTATTTATTTATTTAATATTTTTAGTTGTAGTTGGACACAATATCTTTTTTTTTTTTTTTTTTTTTTTTAATTTTTTATTGTGGGTTGTTCAAAACATTACAAATTTCTTGACATATCATATTCCACACTTTGATTCTAGTGGGTTATGAACTCTGGACACAATATCTTTATTTTATTTATTGTTATGTGGTGCTGAGGATCGAACCCAGCGCCTCGCAAGAGCTAGGCAAGTGCTCTACAGCTGAGCCACAACCCTAGCCCTGACATCTTTATTTTTAATTGCCATATTAATTGTACATACTTATCAAGTACAGTGTGTATTTTAATATATGTATACAATGTGTAGTAAGTTGAATAAATATTGAATTAAATAAATATTTTGGGCTTTGTCAGCTGTAAACTCTGTCTCATATACAGACGGTCTTTGACTTATGATGGTTGACTTATTTTATGTATATATGTGTGTGTACATATTTATATTTATTTATTTTCTATCTATCTATCTATCACCAACTGCTCACTTATACACTCTTATGTTACTCTGGCTGCATAAAAATAATTCATAAAATCTTATGTTTACTTGATTGACAGAAACATTCATTGGAAACATAATGATTTGGGGAAAAGGTGCTGAAAGGGATGGATCAAGCACAAACCATATTCTCTTTAAGAATATTTATCACTAAGTCTGCCCGTGAAAGTTACTATGGTTATGATGAATCGGTATCATTGTGCCCTCGTGAGGAAGAGGCAAAAACTGCAGAAAAGGAGGTGCACATACCTCCATGCCTGCAAGCCGGTCTGCAGACCCTTCTCTATAGGTGTTTAGGTACCCATCCACCAGGGTAGTTAGGTCAGACATCATCTCATCCATAAGTACCAAGCGAAGGGGTAGCAGGTAGGTTGCCTCCAGGGCCAAAATTTTCAGCAAAGAGGGTGGAAGAGGTCTTGTGAACCACACTTCTGGATTCTCCTAGAAACACCCAAACAATTTTTTTTTTAATGAAGAGTAAGTAAAACTTTACAGAAAATAATTGTATAAAGGTTGCTTAATCTAAAATACTGTTATTCCCTTCTATTTTTACCTCCTACTTTCACACCATCAGTAGCTTTCTGAGTGCATGTATGCATCCATACCCATACATATACAGGGTGCATGAGAGACACAGGGAGATTGGTCAATCAGGAGTTCTCAAAGTTGGAGGCAGCAGACTGGAGTATATGTCCAAATTTGTAGACAGTATGGTCATGATCTAAGTTTATATTCAGGGATACTGGTGGTCATAATATAAAGAAAATTTATATTATTTTGGGAGAAATAACTTGGATAATTTTGTTTCCATCAGCTTAATTCACTTTCTTTTTTTTTTGGGGGGGTACTGGGTATTGAAATGGGTGTTTAAATGCTGAACAACATCTTAAATTGCCTAGGCTGGCTTTGAACTCGAAATCTTACCATCTCAGTCTCTGGAGTCATTGGGATTACAGCACCCAGCTTAATCCAAATTCCTACAAAAGTTTCCCAATTATCCCAACATGGAATTATATTTCAGAATACTTTTTTTGGGGGGTAAGAGCAAGGTGGGGGTACCAGGGATTGAACCCAGAGGCACTTAACCACTGAGTCATATCCCCACCCCCCACTTTTTTTTTTTTTTAAGAAAGCAAACAACCTAACTTAATTTTTGTTTTTCTGGTACTGAGTATTGAACTCAGAGGCACTCTATCACTAAGCTGATCCAAGGTCCTTTTTAAATTTTGAGAAAGGTTTTCACTAAATTGCCAGTCCAGCCTCTAATTTGATATCCACCTACCTCAGCCCCCCCCCCCATGTAGTGGGGATTACAGGGGTGAGTCACCAAGCAGGGCTTAACTTACTTTTTTTGTGTGGGGGGGACCAGGGATTGAACTCAGGGGGACTCAACCACTGAGCCACATTCCCCAGCCCAATTTTTGTATTTTATTAGAGACAGGGTCTTACCAAGTTACTTAGCTTCTCACCATTGCTGAGGCTAGCTTTGAATTCACCATCCTTCTGTCTCAGCCTCCAGAACTGCTGGGATTATAGGGCATGTGCCACAGCGACTGGCCAGGTCTTACCTTACTTTTTAAAATTAAAGATGATAAATAAGTCAGGCATAGTGGTTCACACCTGCAATCCCAGTGACGAAGGAGGCTGGGCAGGAGGATTACAAGTTCAGGTCAGCTTTGGAAATTTAACAAGAACATATTTCAAAATAAAAAGCGGGTGTGCAGAGTGCCCATGAATTGAATCCCAGTACCATAAAAAGAAAAAAAAAAGATGACATACAGATGGTAAATAAATACAGAAGACACTCAACACTATGAGTGTTGAATTAAAACCATATATTGTCAATACCCATAAGAATGACTAAAATTAAGAGTGACCAAGTGTTGGCAAGGATGCACAGGAACTACAAATTTCATACACTTCTGGATGGGAATGTGAATAAATAGAGGCCCATTGGAAAACAATTTGGAAGTGAAACATAACATCTACAATATTATCTATCAATTCTATTCCTAGATACTTGCCAGAAAGAAGTGAAAAGTATACATCAACACAAAAGCCTATCCACAAATATTCATACCATTCATAGCAACACATGAGTAAACTGTGATATATGCACACCACAGAATACAACTAGGCAACAAAAAGAAGTATATTATCATGCTATAGCATAATAACTCTCAAAATAATTCTGTTAAATGAAATAATCCATATGTACATACTGATTGATTCTATTTCTACAGTAGGTCATGGAGAGGGAGCTATACAGATTTTTTCCCCCTTATTTTGGTGATAATTTCACAGGGATATACCAATGTTGAAACTAACCAAATTGTACATTTTATATATGTGTAATTTATTATGTCCATCTCATTCCACCATCTTTCCTGCCCCCATACCCCTTTCCCCACCCCTCTCCTCTTTGCCCATCCCCAGCCCTTTTTATTTTGAGAGTGGGTCTCACTAAGTTGCTTGGGGCCTCGCTAAATTGATGAGGCTTGCTTTGAACTTTAATCTTTCATGCCTCAGCCTCCCAAATTTCTGGGATTATAGGTAGGCTCAAGAAAGCCTGGTTTTATTTCAGAGTACTTTTAAAATGATAATCAACAAATCTTTTCTCCAACTGAAACCTTTTTCTACTTGGCACAACTAAGATTCTGGCAATGCTCATATGCTTACATGGCAGCCAACAGCCAGGGGCACTAACAATTTAGAAACATCCAGACCATTTATTTATTTATTTATATTTTCAGACAGATTCTCATGAAGTTGCTTAGGACCTCATTAAGTTGCTGAGGCTGTTTTTGAACTTGTGATTCTCCTGCCTCAGCCTCCAAAGCTCCTTGGATTACAGGCATGTACCATTGTACCTGGCAATATAATAGACTATTAATGGTGCTCAAGAAAACACTTGAAAAAATAACATCAAATGGGATATCCCTTAATACTTACCCGAATCAGTTTTTGTCTTTCTTCTAGAAAGAAGAGATATTTAGGGGCTACTTTAAGGTGTCTAGTTAAATTTTCCTGCAGAGTACTGATGCAATTTGGAAGAAAGCCACCTGTTTCCATGGAAAACTGAAGGACATCTGCTACCTGCAGTGTTAAAAAAGACAAATTAACCAGTTAAGTGTATACAGAAAACTATCTCAAAATTATATTAAAAACTATTTTAGCCAGTAGTGGTGAGTCATGCCTATAATCCCAGAGGCTCAGTAGGCTGAGGCAGGAGGATCCCAAGTTCAAAGCAAGGTTCAGCAATTTAGTGAGGCCCTAAGCAATTTAATGAGACTCTGTCTCAAAGTAAAAAATAAGGGCTGGGGTTGTGGCTCAGTGGTAGAACGCTTGCCTAGCATGTGTGAGGCACTGGGTTCAATTCTCAGCACCACATATAAATAAATAAAATAGGGAGGTCCATTGACAATTTTAAAAAAACTTAAATAAAATAAATAAAAATAAAAAGAGCTGGAGATATGGCTCAGTAGTTGAATATTCCTTGAATAGCCCTGGGTTCAATCCCTGGTACCAAAAAAAAAAAAATCGATTTTAAGTTTTTAGTTTTAACTATCTTAAAAACTATTTTAAACTGGGTGTGGTGGTGTACACCTGTAATCCCAACAGCTCAGGAGGTTGAGGCAGGAGGATTGGGAGTTCAAAGCCAGTCTCAGCAACTTAGCAAGACCCTGTCCTAATAAAATATAAAAAAAGACTGGAGATGTGGCTCAGTGTTTAAGTATCCCTGAGTTCAATCCCTAGTACCAAAACCAACAACAACAAGAAACTATTTTAAGAGAAATACTTTAAATACCATTTTCCCCAAGGATCCACGTTAGGCCACACCACCAGGAAATTTAAAGTTGTTTATTATTTTGAAATAATTTTTAAAAGTAGAAACTACTGACTTTTTTTTTCTGTTTTTGTTTTTCTCTCTCTCCCTCTCTTTCTCTCAGGGCCTTGCTAAATTGCTGAGGCTGGGTTTAGACTTGTGAATCTCCTGCCTCAGCCTCCTGTGCCCCTGGGATTATAGCATGCCTGACTACACCGAGTTCAAGCCCTTAAAGGTTTTTTAAAATTTTTTATTATTTTCTTTTTAGATATGCATGACAGTAGAGTATATTTTGGCGTATTAAATATACATGGAGGGGTTGGGGTTGAGGCTCAGCTGTAGAGCGCTCACCTTGCACCCTGGGTTTAATTCTCAGAACCACATACAAAAATAAACAAATGAAATAAAGGTGTTGTGTCCAACTACAACTAAAAATAAATAAATAAATATTTTTTAAAAAGAGTATGACATCACTCAAAAAAAAAAAAAAACATACATGGAGGGCTGGGGTTGTGGCTCAGTGATACGGCGCTTGCCTAGCATGGGTGAGACACTGGGTTTGATCCCCGGAACCACGTAAAAATAGAAAATAAAGGTATTAAGTTCATCTACAACTAAAAAAAAAAATTAATAAAAAATACATGGAGTATTGAGTTATACTAGTCGTGTATTCACATAAGAACATAGGAAAAGTTATGCCTGATTCATTCTACTGTCTTTCCTATTTCCAAACCCCCTTCCTTCCCTCATTTCCCTTTGTCTAATCCAATAAACTTCCCTCCCTCCACCATTTTTTTTTTTTAATTGTGAGACAGGGTCTCACTAAGTTGCCCAGGCCAGCCTCAAACTTGCCATCTTCCTATCTTAGTCTCTCTACTAGCTGGGATTATAGGAATATGCCACCACACCTGGGTAAAGTGTTCTTATCCACTTTCTTTTATTTGCCTAGTATAATGTCATTTACTATACTTTGATGCCTGTGGGAACCAAAAGGAAAAGAAAGGAAAGGACTGGGCAAAGGAAAATAAACTTGAGAATTTTTTTCTATTATCTATTAGCAACTTTATTAATAAAAGTTTTGGTATGAAAAGCTAATCAAATTAAGAATTTCAATACCTAGGGGCTGAGGTTGTGACTCAGTGCATGTTTGAAGCACTGGGTTGGATCCTCAGTACCACATAAAAATAAATAAATAAATAAAGGTATTGTGTCCATCTATAACTAAAAAAATATTAATTTTTTAAAAAAATAATTGCAATAACTATTTATGATAGGCTGAATAATGATCCCCATAATATGGCATTCTAATCACTGGAACCTTTGAATATTATTTGATATGGCAAAAGGGACTTCACCACTGTGACAAGTTAAGGACCTAGAGATGAGGGGATTATCCTGTATCACCTGGGTGGACTCTAAATGTACCCACAAGTGTTTCCTTCTTTCTTTTTTTAATTTTTTAGCTGTATTTAGTATTATTTTATTTATATTTATTTGTTTTTATTTTTTTAGTTGTAGATGGATGTAATACCTTTATTTTATTTATTTATTTTTATGTGGTACTGAGGATCCAACCCAGGGCCTCACACACACTAGGCAAGCACTCTAGCACTGAGCGACCACCCCAGCCCACAAGTGATACTTTAAAAAGGAGACAGGGAGATTTTATTATGGTCAGAGGAGAAGGTGACCCAGTGGTGGTAACAGAGAAAAGAAGGATGCATTTTAAAGATGGAAAAAGGGACCATAAGGCAAGGAATACAAGTAGTCACTAGATACTAAAAAGTAAAGGAAAGTCTCTCCCCTTGAGAGCCTCCATAAGAAACCCTGCTGACACACTGACTTCAACCTAGGAAAAGTGATTTGAGACTTCTGATCTCCAGAATTGTTTGATAATATATTTGTGTTGTTTTAGATCACCAAATTTGTGGTGATTTGTTACATCAAGAATAGGAAACAAATATACTGCGTTAATGGAAAACAAATTGGTAAAATTCTAAATTCCTGTTTTTGCACTATGGAAATCTAAAAAGAAAATTTTGGAAAGATATGCTGGAGGCTACACTAGAAATACATATGAGTTCTAATCAAGAAGCCTAATGGAGCAGGTGCACTGTTGTGGGCTGGGGAGGCTGAGGAGGAGTATTGCAAGTTCAAGGAAGTATTGCAAGCTCAGCAATTTAGTGAGGACCTAAGCGATTTAGTGAGACTGTCTCAAAAAAATGGCTGGTTACTTAGCTCAGTGGTAAATTTCCCCTGGGTTAAATCCCTAGTACCCCATCTCCTCATCCCCTCAAAAAGAAACCTGATGGTCTCAAGGGAACAATGAACAATTCTCTTACATTTTGGAGTAAGCATAGCATAGAAGACATCTCTATGCTATTAGTCAAAGCTCTTGAGAGAAGCCCCAAAGGAATATGAAAATAAGAAAAATGACATAAAATTTATTATAAACATGTATAAAGAGCAAAATTGAATCATACATAGTAATGAAATTGAACTTTTAGGAATTGCTGCTCAAAAATAATTGGCCAATTCATTAGTTTAATTCCTCTTCACAGCTCTGAGTATATGTATCCCTTTCATTGGCATAAACCTAAAAACTAGAAGAAAATAAAGAATGCATAATGAAGGACTGGGGATGTGGCTCAGAGATAAAGCACCCCTGGGTTCAATCCCAAGTACCTAAAAACAAAACAAAACAAAACAAAATCCTCAAAAAAACATTTTAAAACTGGTGGTTTTACTGCTCTCACAGAAAAGCCAAAAATTAAGTCAGCTCTATGAGCTAACATAATCTAGAGATTTCTCATCTTTTAATACATATTTTTTTAGTTGTTGGTGGACCTTTTATTTACTTATTTATATGCAGTGCTGAAAATCGAACCCAGTGACTCACACATGTGAGGCAAGCACTCTACTACTGAGCTACAATTCCAGCCCCAAGAGATTTCTCATTTTTGTCTCTCTCTTTTTTTTTTTTTTTTTTTTTGGCAGCAGGGATTGAACCCAGGGGCACTGAGCTACATTCCCAGCCTAAGTCTTTTCTATTTGTTATTTTGAGACAGGTACAGACTAAGTTGCTTAGAACCTCACTAAATTGGCAAGGCTGGTTTTGAACTTGAAATCCTCCTGTTTCAGCCTCCTGAGTTGCTAGGATTACAGGCATGTGCCACCATGCCTGGGTTTCTTTTCAGTTTTTTGTTTTTGTTTTTTTTTTTAGGTTGACACAATATCTTTATTTTATATCTGTGTGGTACTGAGGATGAAACTCTGTGCCTCATGCATACTAGGCGAGCTCTCTACTACTGGGCCAAAACCCCAGTCCCCGCCTCTTTTCATTTTTGTTTTTAGGTCCTGGGATTGAACTCAGGGACACCTTACCACTAAGCTACATCCTCAACCTTTTTTATTTTAAAGACAGGATCTCATTAAATTACTGAGGCTGGCTTCCAACTTCTAATTCCCCTGCCTCTGCCTCCCAAAGCACTGGGATTACAAGCATGCACCACTGTGCCCAGCAGTTTTCTCATTTCTCTAAGGCCTCATAGATATGAGTCAAATCATACCTCTTCAGCTATTTTGGGCCAGAATAGGGTTTGGGGGCATAGACAGAACAATCTATACCCCTGAGGTACAGAGATGGTAAAAGTCAATATGTGATTGCTCATTTCACAAAGTTTCCCATGTCAGACTTTAAATGACACATAAACCGCTCAAGGTTTCTGAATGGCATGGAGTATGGATTTTGCTTCTTATTTGACAAATTCTGGAGCAAAATGAGGAAAACAAATTACCAAGTAATTTTAACTTTTCTGCAGTTTTTTTTTTTTTTTTTTAGTTCACCAAATGTTCTCACATATTGTATAAACATCTTATATAAGAAGTGGGCAGAAATGGTGCATTAAGAGAGAGAGAGAGAGAGAGAGACTTTTGATCATTTATCAGAACAAGGACTATTTTCTACCAGATGTCATGCACTGGTTTGAATCCAGTGTTTTCCTTTAAGTACCTGTGTGTCAAAGACATTATTTAGCATAATTCCATACTGATGAGAGAGGCAATCGGAAAGCCAGCGACAATCATGGATGACCTAAGGAATCAGAAGAGGGAGACAGTTATTAGAACCTGGTTGCTAATCTTCTAGCAAAGAAATCAGCTTAAATACTCACCTTTAGAATTCTCTTGTCTTCTAATATCATCTGAAGTCCATTGTTGAAAGCTCGACTTCCCAGAAGGAAAATGTCAAATAAGTAAACTCGGCTATTTGTGGCCACCTATAATAAACCACATCATTAGGATAAGGAGCAAGTGGGGAAGTGGATCTGAAGACCAAGAATATAAGACAGGACTGGAGTTGTAGCTCAGCAGTAGGGCACTCACCTAGCATGTGCAAAGCACTGGGTTTGATCCTCAGTACCACATAAAAATGAATAAAAATAAAATAAAGGTATTGTGTCCAACTACAACTAAGAAAAAAAATTTTTTAAAAAGAATATAAGACGTGGGGGCTGGGTTTATGGCTCAGTGGTAGAGCACTCACTTAGCATGCATGAGGCATTGGGTTTGATCTTCAGCACCTCACAAAAATAAAATAAAGATATTGTGTCCACCTAAAACTAAAAAAATAATATTAAAAAAAAAAAGAATACAAGAGATGGGCCAGGTGTGGTGGTACACACACCTGTAATCCTAGTGACTCAGGAGGGTGAGATAGGAGGAGCACAAGTTCAAAGCCAGCCTCAGCAACTTAGCAAGGCCCTAAGTAACTTATAGAGACATTGTCTCAAAATAAAATAAATATAAAAAGGGTTGGGGATGTGGCTTAGTGGGAAAGCACTCCTGGGATTCCTGGTAGCAAAATAAAATAAAAGGACTAGAGCTAGAAATATAGCTCAGTGGTAGAGCACCCCTAGGTTCAATCCCCAGTACAGCACACATGAAAAAAGAAAAAAAAAAAGACATGGATAAAATATTTAACACCATCAGTGTTAAATAAATAATAGATACTCAATGATTCTTAGGGAAAACAGGTTTAAATTGATCCTACATAGTTAAAAAAGATACAGTGGGGCTTGGGGTACAGCTCAATGGTAAAGTGCTTGCCAGGCATCCGTGAAGCCCTGGGTTGGATCTCCAATACAACAGACAGGATCACTGTAATTTTTCAAAGAAAAGAAAAGGATAAGCTGGTGAGTAAGACTTCCGCTATTTATCCTCTCAACTTTTTTACTCCCTTTGGTACCAGGGATTTAACCTAGGAGCATTTAACTACTGAACAAAACCCCAGTCCTCTTTATTTTTTATTTTGAGGCAAGGTCTTGCTAAGAGGCTGGCTTTGAACTCGCCATTGTCCTTTCTTTCTTTTTTATTTATTTATTTATTTATTTATTTATTTTTTTTTTAACAACTAAGATCAGAACAGGGAAGAAGAGCATGAGGAAAAGATTAACATTAAACAGAGACGAGTGGGGGGAGAGAGAAGGGAAACTATGGAAATGGAGGAGACCCTCATTGTTACACAAAATTGCATATAAGAGTTTGTGAGGGGAAAGGGGAAAAAAAAAAAAAACAAGGGAGAGAATGTTTTTGTTTTTTTTTTTTTAAGAGAATTTTTTTTTTTTAAGTTTTTGGCGGACACAACATCTTTGTTTGTATGTGGTGCTGAGGATCGAACCTCAGCCACATGCATGTCAGGCGAGCGCGCTACCGCTCGAGCCACATCTCCAGCCCCCGCCATTGTCCTTTCTCACCTCCTAAGCAGCTGGGATTGCAGGTATATGCCACCACACCCAGCTACAGTCTTAACTTTAATGTTTACCAGTTTCACCTATGCCATTCTAATTGTGATATGTGAAATATGTATTTAATCCCCCTCTAATTTCCAGACTTACAGCTTCAGAAACCCTTGGAGTCTCCATAGTGATGAGTGTCTTTTATATGCTAATGAGAAGAAAATAGGGCTGGGGATGTGGCTCAGTGCTCAAGTATTCCCGAGTTTAATCCCCAGGTACCAAAAAAATTAAAAAAGTAAACAATAAATAAACACACAAAAGGTCTGAGTTTGGAGGGTTTCTAGATAGCTAAGCATAAGGAAGTTTCTGGAGGGTGGCATACCCCTTCTTTCAACATTTTACCCTATGGGTCTCTTCCATCTGGCTGATTATCTGCATCCTTTATAACCTTTATCTTTTTTTTTTTTTTTAAGAGAGAGTGAGAGAGAGAATTTTTAATATTTATTTTTTAGTTTTCGGCGGACACAACATCTTTGTTTGTATGTGGTGCTGAGGATCGAACCCGGGCCGCATGCATGCCAGGCGAGCGCGCTACCGCTTGAGCCACATCCCCAGCCCCTAACCTTTATCTTATATGAGTAAATGTGAGTAAAAATGTTTTCCTGGGTTCTGTGAGTTACTACAGCAAATTAATTAAACCTGAAAAGCTAGTTGTGGGAACCCCCAATTTATAATCAGATACAGGTTGTGTCCTGTGCTTCTGACTGGTATCTGAAGTGAGGGGCTGTCTTGTGGGACTGAGTAATTATTAATTCTGTGAAAAATAAAAAGTTTGTTCAAGAAAAGAAAAACAATCTGGATCAGCAGGAAGTAACAGTTCAAGACATAGTATTACTAACATAAATCTTGAATTCTGTCTTAACTAAAAATTGTGATGTAACTAAGTTAGGAGGTGCTATGAAGGTGCTAAAAGGAGCATTTTTACTATAGTAAATGTTCACAGAAAATGTGTAAAACTTATGAATCAAGATACAGCAATACACACATTATTAAAAATAATAATAATCTTTCCCAGCTTTGACCTATCTTTCTGAGTATTTCAATATGTTAAAAGTAGTAACCTTTACAAATGAATTATCTTTCACTGTGCTTTTGAAAATATAATTGTCTTTCAAAGTGCTACATAAATTTACTTTGCTTTAACAACTGTATAATGAAAGTCTTAAAAAAAACTGCCTCTGAAGGAGTATTAGTGTAAGAATTTTTCTTTCCTCGTTAAACTTTTACCATTATTTGATTTTTTTTTTTTTTTTGGCTTTTAATGCACAGTTGATGTGATACTTGGATTTAAAAAAGTAATCATCTTACAAATTTTTTTTAATTTAAAAAATTTAAAAAAATAATCATCTTTGGGCTGGGACTATAGCTCAGTGGCAGAGCACTTGCCTAGCACTCATGAGGCACTGGGTTCGATCCTCAGCAACACATAAAAATAAACAAATAAAACAAAGGCATTCTATCCATCTACAACTACAAAAAGAATTTTTAAAAATTAATCATTGCAGGAAGCCACCCATTAATTACTTGAGGGTCTTCTCAAGTAATGGAGCCACAAAGATTTAGTTTTTTCCTTGAGAACTATCTTTGGCTCCCAGGGGTGCATTAGATTGCCCAAAGCAGATGACCTCTGTTTCCAATGAAATAGGAAGACCCCTCCTGTAGCTCCAAAGTTGGGTGTAACCTGTTGGGAACTGGACCTGTTGGAACCTCCTACCCTATTTGGCAAAGAACATTCCAGAAAATCTTTGATGATCCCTCATATAAATAAAGCAAGAGTAGGCTCCATTTTGCTCTTTTCAGTATAGAAGCTCGATCCCTAAGATTGGCTAGCCCATCCTGCCCCTGCTTTTAAAATTTTCTGTGTCCTGTGAATTTTTTTTTTTTTGGCTACACTATTTTCCTTAGCTTTTATTTGACAGCCAGCGCATTCCACCAAGAGGAACCCCATTTTCAACTGCCCGTGTGGGACATGGGTGGGAACCATCTTTCTCATTCCCCAGCCATCTTGGTGGCTTCTCTTGGTTGGAGCTAACCCACACCTTAATGCTGGAAGATGACAAAAACATCACTGGAGGCTATTAACTTAAGTGGAAAGTATGTGCTAGAGTTCAAGGGTATTCTGAAGATAATTAGGCAGGGCAAAGTGAAATTGGTCATCCTCACCAACACTTTCCCAGTTCTGAAGAAATCTGAAACAGAGTACTAAGCCATGTGGGCTCAAATTGCTAAACACCATCATGATGGCAATAATACTGAAATGGGCACAACATGCACAAAATAATACAGATTATGCCCAGTGGCTATCATAGATCTAGGTGATTTCTGATATTGTTAGAAGGTGGGTATCATAGATCTAGGTGATTTCTGATATTGTTAGAAGGCGGCTATCATAGATCTAGGTGATTTCTGATATTGTTAGAAGGTGGCTATCATAGATCTAGGTGATTTCTGATATTGCTAGAAGGTAGATACATCTCAGAACAGACTGTGAAAAGCAAAACATGCAAAAAAAAATTGTTTTAACTTTTTTGGGGGATGGGGTGAATAATAGAAGTTCAGTGGAGTAGACAAAGGAGAAAGAAGGGAAGGGAGGGAGGATGGGAATAGGAAAGACAGTAAAATGATTCAGACATAACTTTCCTATGTTCATATATGAATACACAAGAATGAGATTCTAATTTGTATAAGTGGGGCTGGGGATGTGGCTCAAGCAGTAGCATGCTCGCCTGGCATGCGTGCGGCCCGGGTTCGATCCTCAGCACCACATACAAACAAAGATGTTGTGTCCGCTGAAAACTGAAAAATAAATATTTAAAAAAATTCTCTCTCTCTCTCTCTAAAAAAATAAATAAACTTTTAAAAAAATAGAATAAGTTATACTGCATGTATGTATAATATGTCAAAATACACTCTAATGTCATATATATACAAAAAGAATAATTTTTTTAAAAATGCCAGAGATTGTTTAAAAAAATTAAACACATAAGCCCAAGGGCTTGATTGGGGAAAATGTGCCTATTAATTTGCTTCCAGTCACAAAGAGGACATTTATAACTAATTGGATAGTCATTCCCTTTGGTACTTAGGAAATTAAAGGGGACAAATTCAGAAATAACCTAGAGTTATCCAAGCATGTATTACCAGAAAGTCCTTCATTCTGTTTTGTTAGAGAAAAGTTTTTTTGTTTAAGTAATTTGCTTTTGTGCTAACTTGGTTTTCTAAGAGCTAAGGTTTACCAATTAAGTGCAGGGAACAAGAGAGAGGCAATCTAATACCAAGCAAAATTAGGCTCAGCCACCTCTATTCCTTTTCCTTGGAGAAGTTGAATATTGCAGAAGGAAGAATTTAAGAGGGCAGATTGCTAACTCAGTTGGCTATATTCTTGGAAAAAATATTCTCATAGTGACTCAAACCGCTGGTTGAGGATACAGCTTGCTCTCTTGACCACCTTGCATACTGATGCTTCTGGCTTGACTCAAAGGTAGCTTACTCATCCTCTAGTTATTTAAGGCTCACTTCAAACTTCTTTTGATATAATGGTACCCTCATCTCTAGGAAACTCACCTAGTGTGGCAGAGACATGTATCAAACCTAACTTCAGAAAGATGGTCAAAGTTGGGAAAGAAGATCTCCTGCAGAATCTGTGAGATAGCAATGATAGCTATTAAAGTGAATCTATTAGAAGTTCCTTCTTTTGAAAAGAATAAATTGAGCACTAAAAATATGAGGTACATTCCCAACAAGTTACAGAATAATAATAGCAGGGATAACAGAGAGAAGACAATTAATAATATATTGAATGTACAATTATTTAAAAATAAAACGTTTTAAAAAATCTTTTACCTGAAGCCAACACAGTTTCCCATGGCGGCACACGTTAGCTCCTTCTGCAGCCACACTCAGGACACTCTGCTTCTTGATATGGAGCATCTGGTAAGATAAGGAAGAAAAGGGACAGGTGTGGTGGTGCACACTTGTAAACTCAGCACTCAGGAGGTTGAGGCAGGAGGATCAGAAGTTCAAAGTCAGTCTTAGCAATTTAGGAATACCCTATCTTAAAATTAAAACTAAAAAAAATAAATAAAAATAAAAACAGGGCTAGGAACATAGCTCAGTGGTAGAGTGTCAATGGATTCAATCCCCAGTAGAAGAAGAAAGGAGGAGGGAGAAAAAGAAGGGGAAAGAAAGGGGAAGAAAAAGAGGAAAAGAAAGGAGGAGAAAAAAAGAAATTCCAGGGAACAAATATTGGCATCATAACACCATGAATGGCATCTGTGATAAACAAAGTACATCATTTTCTCTAATTTTTTTTGTTTGTTTTTGGTACTGGGGATTGAACACAGGAGAATTTTACCACTGAGCCACATGCCCAGCCCTTTTTATTTTGAAACACGTTTTCGCTGAGTTGCCCATGCTGGTCTCAAACTTGTGATCCTCCTGCCTCAGCCTCCCAGATGGCTAGAATTATAGGTGTACACCATTGTACCTTGCCTCAACTTACAAATTTGACCAATCTAAAACACTGATTCAGATTCACAAGCATACATAAATCATCACTGAACACTTCTGATCCTCTTTTTAGTTTTGGTAAATGTATTCCACAACTGGAAGATAAATCACTCATACCCCAAATGCTAATGAGAATTAATTATAAGTGATACCTTTTATTTTCACAGATGGTGCTGGAAAAATTCTAGTATTTAAGCCAAGATTCTTTAGGCAAACTGTGGTGCCCTAACACAGGCAATTTACTACATCTGAAAGGAACACAATAACTACTGTTCAGAATTACAGAAATAAGTGGGGTGAGTGTGAGGTGTCACATGCCTGAAATCCCAGCAACTTAGTATTGCTGAGGTATGAGAATTACAAGTTTGAGGCCAGCCTCATTAACTCAGTGAAGCTCTAAGAAACTCAGCTCTGTTTCAAAATAAAAAATAAAAAGTCTTGGGGCTGGGGTTATGGCTCAGCAGTAGAGCACTCACCTAGCACGTGTGAGGCTCTGGCCTCAATCCTTAACACCATATAAAAATAAATAAATAAAATAAAGGCATTGTGTCCAACTACAACTAAAATAAATAAATAAATAAAAAGCATTAAAAGACTTGCAGCTATCACCCAGTGGTAAAGCACCCCTGGGTTCAATCCCCAGTACAAAAAAAATAAATACAAAATAAAAGGCAAAGTATCTAAATAGATAGTTCACCAAAGAAGTGACACAAGTGGTCAATAAGCTCACAGAAAGATGTTCATCATTTTTAGACATCAAGGAAATGTAAATCAAAATCATAATGAAATACCCCTTCACACAAGCCAGATGACTATAATAAAAAAAATGACAGATAATAACAAGTATTGACAAGGATATGAAAAAAGTAAAAATCCTCATATACTACTAGTCAGGATGTAAAATATCACAGGCAGCAGCTTTGGAAAAGTCTGGCCAGTCCTCAAAAAGTTAAAAAGTTACTAAATAATCCAGTAAATTCCCTGCAAGGTATCTATCCAAGAAAAATAAGTTTTATTTGGATATGTTCATATAAAAACTTGTATATGAATGTTCATAGAAGCATTATTAATAACACCCCTAAAGTATAAACAACTCAAATGTCCATCAAATGGTGAATGAGGGCTGGGGATATAGCTCAGTTGGTACAGTGCTTGCCTCATATGCACAAGGCCCTGGGTTCAATCCCCAGCACCACACACACACACAAATATATGGTGAATGAATAAAATGTAGTATATCTATAAATATAGTATTATTAAGCAATAAGAAGATAAAAAGAAGTAAAATACTAATATACCCTACAGCATGGATGAAATTTCCAAACGTTATGTTAAATAATCAAAGATCACCTATTTCATGACTGATTTTATATTAAATGTCCTGAAGAGTTAAATTCACAGAGACAGAAAGTAAATTAGTGGTTGCTGGGGGCTGAGACAGGGTTGGGAGTAATGGATAAAAGGTGGGGAGCATGGGGTTTCTTTCTAGAGTATTGAAAATATTCCAAAATTCATTATGATGGCAGAGAGACAACTCTGTGAATACCCTAAAGGCCAGTGAGCTATACATTTTCCAAAGGTGAATCATATGACATTTGAATTATATCTCAATAAAGGTTTTGAGAAAAATAAAAAAGAATCTGTTGAAACTCTTCCCTTTAAAAATGCACCCCCACACACACACATGTACAAGCCTGCATCCAACAGAAAGTTCAGTTATTCTCCTAAAGCCCATCTGTGCACTAGTCTGTAGGCTAATTAGTTTTTGCCACTTCTCAAATTAATAAATGATTATTGAGAAACTGCCTAGGTACAGCATCCAGGGTGTTCCTTTTAAAATCAAAGTCAGATAACTTCTGACTGTTCTCTGAAACTGTCAATGGCTTTCCATGTTACTCAGGTCAAAATCAAAATCCTGAAAAGCCTGACCTGATCTGCCTCCCACCCACTTCTATCTCCTACCACTCTTCTCTATTGTGGTCCAATCACACTAACCTCCCTGCTGTTCCTCCACACAAGTCAGGAACGCTTCAGCCTCCAGCTTTTTGTACATGCTAATTCTACTTTGCTTAAATTCTTCACCCAGATACCCACACGACTAGCTTCCTTACTTCCTTCAGGCCCCTATTCCAATGTCATCTCTTCAGAGAAGTTTTTCTTGTCCATCCATATGAAATAGGACCTCCCTGTCACCACTCTATTCTCTATGCCTTGTTTTTTCTTCATTGCAATGACTGCCAGCTAATACACAATTATCTATTTACTGTCCTTTTAAAGAATTTTTTAAGTTGTAAACAAACACAATACCTTTATTTTCCTTATTTTTTTAATGTGGTGCTGAGGATCAACCTGAATGTCTCATGCATGTGAGGCAAGTTCTCTGCCACTGAGCTATAACCCCAGCCTTCTTTACTATCTTATATAAGGATGTAAATTCCTTGAGAGTTAGAATTTTGTCTTGATTATCTCAGAACAATGCCCGACATGTAGCAAACACCCCAAATATTTTGTTGAGTTAATAGAGAAACATGTCAGGCATCAAAGATCTTATAATTAAAAAAAAAATCTATAGGCGGGCAGGCTGGGGTTATGGCTCAGTGGTAGAGCACTTGTCTTGCACGTGCAAGTCCCTGGGTTCGATCCTCAGCACCATATAAAAATAAATAAATAAAGTTTTTTTAAAAATCTATGAAACACAAATATAATACCATTCCCAATATTAGAAATGATTGAGGATAATACTTACTGCAGCACCAAACTTCTGCTGGAACTGATCAATGACTATGTATGTCACCTCTTCTTCCTCTATAAGAGAAGCATAGCATTAAATATATTTATCTTCCTTGGCAATAGAAAAGCCTTCCCACCAGCTTTGGCCACACTCATAAACTCTTACTGTATTGTATCTCAAATGTCTACTGTTGTTTCATTATCATCTGTGTCAGTCCCTCCCGCAGAAAATACAAATCAGCATCCTGTTTGTCCATTGAGAGTAGATAAAAGTCCTACTAACTATAACCTTATCCCCTCTACAATACTAGGGATTGAACCCAGGTGTGGTATACTATTGTATACCACTGAATTATGTTCCCAGCTCTTTTTATTTTTTAACTGAAACACATTCTAAATTGCTAAGACTGGCTTTGAACTTGTAATCCTTTTACCTCAGCCTCCTGAGTAGCTGGGATTATGGGTATGTGCCACTATGCCAGCAATAATCTTACAAATGAACTATCTATTCATTTCCTGTGGTAATCTGTAATACTTCCCTACTCATAGATATGCTTTTTTTTTTTTTTTGTACTGGGGATTGAACCCAGGGCACTGTACCACTGAGCTATATCTCCAGTCCTTTTTATTCTTAATTTTGAGACAGGGCTCTCTCTAAATTGCTGAGGGTCTTGTTAAATTGCTAAGGCTGGACTCAAACATGAAATCTGCCTGCCTCAAGCTCCTGAGTGGCTGAGATTACAGTCTTGTGCTCCCACACCTGGAAAGATTTGTTTTGAACACCTCAAGTCATGCACTTTTATTTATTGATTGATTGATTGAGTCAGGGATTAAACCCAGGGGCAATTAACCACTAAGCCACGTCCCCAGTCCATATTTATTTTGAGACAGGATCTCACTAAATTTCTGAGGCTGGCTTTTTGAACTTGTGATCCTCCTGCCAGCCTTCCAAGTAGTTGGGATTATAGGAGTGTTCCAATGCACCTGGCAAATCATGTACTTTTTTTTTAATATTTATTTTTAGTTTTAGGTGGACAAATATCTTTATTTTTATGTGGTGCTGAGAATCGAACCCAGTGCCTCATGCATGCTAGGCGAGCTCGCTACCACTTGAGCCACATCCCCAGCACCATTCAATCATGTACTTTTTTATTTTATTTTTTTATTTATTTTTTTTTATTTTAATATTTTATTATTTTTTTTTTATTTCTCGGCGGACACAACATCTTTGTTTGTATGTGGTGCTGAGGATCGAACGCAGGCCGCACGCATGCCAGGCGAGCGCGCTACCGCTTGAGCCACATCCCCAGCCCCATCAATCATGTACTTTTTTAAAGCGTGTTTATAAAACAAAGTAATGGTTTAAAAGAAATGAGCCCTGGAGATGGGCCTATGCCCAATTTTTTAGAGTTCTCTAGGTACTAATAATTATTTTTAAAAAATGATATAATTGAAAATAATTAGATTATAGGAGGTATGGCCCAGTAGAGTAATTGCCTTAAGGCCCTGTGTTCAATCCTCAGTAGTAATAACAATAATCTAGTTGTATAATTTAACATAGAGGAGGTCTTCTTCTTTTCCTTGTCTTTCTTTTTTGTGGTGTTGGTTTGAATATAGGGCCTTGTACATGCTAGACAAGGGTTCTGTTATTGAGCTATATCCCCAGTCCCTCTTTAGCTCCTAACCTCTAAGGCGGAGTGCCACTGGACACATACATTTTCCCTTTGTACCTACACTCTCTTGGTGACCTCATCTAGTTTTAGATTTTAAATAAATATCATCTATGGGCTTACTTCTTAATCCTTTCTCATACCTTGCTTCTCATCTTAAGCTTTTATTCAAATTTAAATTGACCAAAACTGAATTCTTAATCAGCTTCTCAAAATCTTTTCCACTCATAGTCTTTCCTACCTCATTGTAATAGCAACTCCACACTTCTAGCTGCTCTTATAAAAGCCCTGAAATTGTCCTTGATTCCTCTCTTTATCTCATACCAATATTTGTCAGTATGCCCCATGGGCTCTACCTTTAGCATATATTCAGAATTCCAACACTTCTTACTCTACTGCCACCATCAGGGTCTAAAGCCACCATATCCAACTGTTTTAATTATTTCTTAGCTTCCTGACTGGTATCCATGTTTTTACCTTTGCTCCACTTTCAGTACCCATATAACATCCAGAATGAGCTTTTAAAAAAAAAAAAAGAAATATTTATTATTTCTCATTACTGTGTAAATTGACTAGATGCTTCTGTCAGTCCTGTTTGGGAACTTTATGCATAAAGTGAGCTTTTTAAAATAGAATTCAGGGGGCTGGGGATGTGGCTCAAGCGGTAGCGCGCTCACCTGGCATGCATGTGGCCCAGGTTCGATCCTCAGCACCACATACAAACAAAGATGTTGTGTCTGCCGAAAACTAAAAAATAAATATTAAAAATTCTCTCTCTCTCTCTCTCTCTCAAAAAAAAAAAAAAAGAATCAAAAAATGGGACGGTATCAAACTTAAAAGCTTCTTCACAGCAAAAGAAACAATCAAGAATGTGAAGAGAGAGCTTACAAAATGGGAGAAAATCTTTGCCATCTGCACCTTGGAAAGAGCATAAATCTCCAGGATATATAAAGAACTCAAAAAACTTAACACCAGGAGCCGGGTGCATCGGTGCATGCCTGTAATCCCAGTCTTGGGAGGCTGAGCCAGGAAGATCACAAGTTCAAAGCCAGCCTCAGTAACAGTGAGGCAATAAGCAACCCAGACCCTGTCTCTAAATAAAATATAAAATAGGGCTGGGGATTTTTTGTATTTTATTTTATTTTTTAAAGTCACATAAAACAGAGAAGATTTATTTATTTTTTTAAGAGAGAGAGAGAGAATCTTTAATATTTATTTTTTAGTTTTCGGCAGACACAACATCTTTGTTTGTATGTGGTGCTGAGGATCAAACCCGGGCCGCATGCATGCCAGGCAAGCGCACTACTGCTTGAGCCACATCCCCAGCCCTTTTGTATTTTATTTAGAGACAGGGTCTGTGATGTGGCTCAGTGGTCAAGTGCCCCTGACTTCAATCGAACCTCCGCCCCCGCCCCCCCCAAAAAAAACCTTAACACCAAAAAAACCAAATAACCCAATCAATAAATGGACAAAGGAACTGAACAGCCACTTCACAGAAGAAATAGGATCTGTCAACAAATATATGAAAAAATATTCAACATCTCTAGCAATTGGAGAAATGCAAATTGAAACTACACTGTGATTTCATCTCACTCCACTCAGAATGGCAATTATCAAGAATACAAGTAATAATAAGTGTTGGCGAGGATGTGAGGAAAAAGATACACTCGTACATTGCTGGTGAGACTGCAAATTGGTGCAATCACTCTAGAAAGCAGTATGGAGAGTCCTCAAAAAACCTGGAATGGAACTACCATTTGACCCCGTTATCCTACTCCTTGGCATATAACCAAAGGAATTTAAATCAGCATACTATAGTGACACAGCTACATCAATGTTTATAACAGCTCAATTCACAATAGCTAAGCTATGGAACCAATCTAGGTGCTCTTCAACAGATGAATGGATAAAGGAAATGTGGTACATATACCCAATACCCAATAGAGTATTACTCAGCCTTAAAGAAGAATGAAATTATGGCATTTGCCGATAAACTAGAGACTATCATGTTAAGTGAAATAAACCAATCCCAAAAAAAACAAAGGTCGAATGTTCTCTCTGATATGTGGATGTTGACTCACAATAGGTGGTGGGTAGATTAAAAGAGGGGAAGTGAAAGGAGGGGAGGAGGGATGAGAATAGGAAAGACAGTAGAATGAATCAGACATAACTTTCTATGTTCATATACGAATATACAACCACTGTAACTCCACATCATGTACAACTAGAAGAATGGGAAATTACACTCCATGTATGAACTTGTATGTATAATATGTCAAAATACATTCTACTCCCATGTATAACTAAAAAGAACAAAGAAAAAAACAAAAACAAAAAAACTTTCCGGTGAAAAATTGGAGTTAAAATATATTCTATAGGGCTGGGGCTATAGCTCAGTGGCAGAGCACTTGCCTAGCATGTGTGAGGCACTGGGTTCAATCCTCAGCCCTACAAAAAAATAAATAAATAAAATAAAGTCATGCTGTCCATCTATAACTATAATTTTTTTAAAAAATAATATTTATAATAGTATAAAAATATGAAATAGGGTTGGGGCTGGGGCTCAGTGGCAGAGCACTTGCCTGGCATTTGTGAGGCATTGGGTTTGATCCATAACACCTCATACAAAAATAAATAAAATAAAGGCGTGCTGTCCATCTACAACCACAAAAAAATTTTAAAAATACAAAATAATTATGGGTAAATAGGATATAAGATATGAGAGACTTAAAACTCTAAGAATTATAAAACACTGCTGGGAAATAAAAGAAGATCTAAACAAATGGAGAAATATACCAGGTTCAAATATTGGAATACTCAATATTGTTCATATGTCAATATTTCCCAAACTTGTGTATAGATTCAATATATCCCAATTAAAAGTCTAGAGATTTTTTAGCTTAAGAAATGGAGAAACAGATTCTGTGTGTGTATATATATATATATATATATTTTTTTTTTTTAATACGTATTTTCTAGTTGTTGATGGACCTTTATTTTATTCATTTATTTATATGTGGTGCTGAGAATCGAACCCAGTAGCTCAGAGGTAGAGCGCTTGCCTAGCACATGTAAGGCACTGGATTCTATCCTTAGTACCACATAAAAATAAATAAAATAAAGGGGTTGTGGCTCAGTGGTAGAGTGCTTGTCTAGCATGTTTGAGGCACAGGTTTTCTGAGGAATCTCCATACTGCTTTCTAGAGTGATTGCATCAATTTGCTGTCCCACCAGCAATGTACGAGTGTACCTTTTTCCTCACATCGTCACTAACATTTATTGTTACTTGTATTCTTGACAATTGCCATTCTAAGTGGAGTGAGATGAAATCAGGTTCTTAACACCATATCTAAATAAATAAATAAATATCCATCAATAACTAAGTTTTTTTAAAAAGGTATTGTGTCCATAAAAACATTTTAAAAGAGAGAGAGGAATAAATGGGAATTCATCAAAATTAAAAATATCGGGCTGGGATTGTGGCTCAGTGGTAGAGTGCCTGCCTAGCATGGGCGGGACCTGGGTTTGATCCTCAGCACCATATAAAAATAAAGGCATTGTGTTGTGTCCATCTACACCTAAAAAATAAATATTTTTTTAAAAAAGAGTTTAAAAAATTAAGAATATCCATTCTACAAAATATATTTTAAGAAAAGGAAAAGTCAAACCACAGATATTTGGAGTAATCATTTGCCAAGCATTTCTCTGAGAACAAAACTTATATCCAGAATATAGAACTCACAACACTGAGAAAGAAAACTAGCCAATAAGAAAATGGGCAAAAATTATGGAAAAAAAGTTCCATATTCAGATGGCAAATAAGCACAAGAAAAGACTCTTAGCATTCTTAGGCATCAGGAAAATGCAAATTAAAACCACAAAGAGATATTATTATATATGTATTAGAATGGCTAAATTTTTTTTAATTAAAAAAAAAAAGTTCTCCAGTGACTTCTCTTCTCACTTCAGACAGTTAAGGCTGATATCCCTTCAAGGATCTAAAAACTCCTCCTTGACCATTCATCTAGTCTCATCTACTATTTCTTTCTCTGCTCCAGTTCCACTCATCTCCTTGCTGTCTGAGTCCCTGGCATGTCCCATTTCAGGGCTTTTATGCCTTTTTTAAAAAATATTTTTTTTAGTTGTAGAAGGACACAATACCTTTATTTTATTTACTTATTTTTATGTGGTGCTGAGGATGGAACCCAGTACCTCATACTTGCGAGATAAGCACTCTGTCACTGAGCCACAATGCCAGCACTATGCCTTGTTTTTTATGGTTTTTGTTTTGGATGTACTAGGGATTGACAGGGATTCTATCAGCCTAGCCAAATACTTCTCATCATCATCATCTTCTTCTTCTTTTTTTCCTTTTGATATATGTGACTAGCATACAATATATTTTACTCATTATTCTTATTTGGTATCTGCCTCCTCCAGAGCTCAACGAGGGCAGTATCTCCAATGCGCGGCTGTAGTATGCATTCACATATCAAGTGATATTTATTTTAATTCTGAGCCTAGAAGCAGTTGCTCAGCATTTCATATAGAATTTGGATTCAGGGTTATGCCAATTCTAAAGAGTTCTGAACTATAATAAAGAGAGCCTAGAAAATTCTGAGCACTCACCTGATGGACTATACTTCAGGTCATTTAGCAAAGAGGTAGTTGGCGCCTCAGAGGCAGGTGAAGCAGGCTCGCACACATTTAGGTCTTCATCCTTCATTTTATCTATCCTGGCTCTTTCTGTATTTAGACTACCCTTACAAAAGAACAACACTTAGATGAACTTGTTTTTAATTACTGTCATATTCAGATTTTTTCCTCACATTAAGGGACTGTTGTTCTCCATTAAAGAGAGGATCCTTTCACACACTGTTTACATGGGCATAAGGATGCTATCTAGAGATGGAAGAGACATCCACATTTTCCTTCTCATTTCTCTCCCCTTAGGCCATTTTAGGAATCAAGCAGCTAGTGGATGAGAGTTAAGTCTTTCTCCCTACTGTGTATTTGGAAAACCTCATAATGAAGAAAATTATCCCATCATACCTAACAGAAGATGCCTTTTCTCTCACTGCACCTTGCTCCACTTCATCCAGCAGTTCCACTGAAAAATAACCAAATAGCTTCCAACAGTTTCCAATCAGAAAGCAATTAATCATCCTCAGCTCCACAGACCCAGTGTGACTATGTATTACAAATAGTAATTGGAAGCAAAGTGTTAGAACACAAAGGGCTACATTGGCCAGCAATAAATACAGCAAAAAAGACTATCAAAAGTACCATGGAAGGGGCTAGGGTTGTGGCTCAGCGGTAGAGCGCTCGCCTTGTGTGAGACCCTGGGTTCGATCCTCAGCACCACATAAAAATAAATAAGTGAAATAAAGGTATTGTGTCCAATTACAACTAAAAAATAAATAGTAAAACAACAACAAACAAACAAAAGTACCATGGAGGGGCTGGGGCTGTAGCTCAGTGGTCAAGGGCTTGCCCCGCATGTGTAAAGCACTGGGTTTGATCCTCAGCACCACATAAAAATAAATAAAGATACTGTGTTCATCTACAACTAAATAAATTTTTAAAAAAGTACTATGGAGGGGTAAGGGGTGCAAAAGAGATGGTGGAATGAGATGGACATCATTACCCTAAGTACATGTATGAAGACTCAAATGGTGTGAATATATTTTATATTCACAACCAGAAATATGAAAAATTGTGCTCTATATGTGTAATATGAATTGTAATGCATTCTGCTGTCATATATAACAAATTAGAATTAAAAAAATAAAAAAAAGTACTATGGATTCCCAATATTATGTCCCAAGCTTCTTGGTTACTTAGCAGGATTAAAACTTCTCAATATGGCCCCCTTATCCTTTTACATCCCCAAGGCTGCCTTTGTTGTCATTCACATTGGTTCTAGAGTTTTTGTTTTACTCATCCCAATTCTAATGCGCCTTCCCTCACACTATACTGTTGAAGGGTAATCATATACAGATCTGTCACTGGCAACTCTCAGGCTAATGCCATTATTGCTCAGTGACATGAAAGGCAATGAAAATAGAGTGAAAATCCCAAAAGAATTACAAGAGAAATATTCCAAGGATATTATGAAACCATTTAGCTTTAACCTAATTGTTCAGGGAATCTAGGGAAACATTGTATTTCATTGATTCCGAGATGCACATTTTAAACAGCTCTGAAATTGATTGTGATTTACAATAATTGCACATTATAGCTGCATTGCAGCTTCTTTCTAAATGTTCAAAAAGTAAGAATCTTATAATTATTGACATCTTAGATTCAATACAGTACATTCAGTATTTTTTATTTTTCATGGAAAAAGTTTCTCAGAGGGCCACTGTGTTTCAAATGTCTTTTTTTTTTTTTTCCTGGTACCAGTGAATCTAAGGCAGCAAATTGGAATTTACTAAAAATGTCAATTAGTCATTATTGTGCTCTTGATAATTCTTACTCAAGGTGTTTTCTGGGGAAATTCCTTCATGGTTGATTAGGCCATGGGACAAAAAAGGAGAAAACCATCCTCTGAGCTTAAAAATTATGAATAAAGGTCAAGACCTCAGAGAGAATTTAGGAGAAAATAAATTATATGTGTACAGATTATAGAACTGGTTAGTGTCAGCCTTCTTTGGATTAGGGAGGTGTTCTAGTGATTCCTTCACTTCTTTACAAACTCAACCACCATTCAGTTCTGTTCTAGTCAAGTTCTGCTCTGCTACAAAGGCTATTTATCCCCCTTGGTGGTGCTGGGGATCAAACCCGGGCCTGTGCATGGTAGGCCAGCACAGTTATTGAGGTACACACTCAGCCCTGAAAAGGCTATTAAAACAAAAGTAAGAATTTCAGGGCTGGGGTTGTGGCTCAGTGGTACAGTGCTTACCTGGCATGTGTAAGGCAATGGGTTCAATTCTCAGCACCACATATAAATAAATAAATAATATAAGGATCCTTTGACAATCAAAAAAAAAAAAAAGTAAAATTTTCACTTTCATTCAGTGGCACATGCCTATAATCCCAAAGGCATGGGAGGCATCGACAGGAAGATCTTGAGCTCAAAGCCAGTCTCAGCAATTTAAGGAGGCCCTAAGCAACTTAGCAAGACCCTGTGTGGTTGAGTGCCCTTGGCTTCAATTCCTGATACCAAAAAAAAAAAAAAAAAGCAAAAAGAATTTCACCTTTACTATCGCCATCTTCATCACCACTATAAAAAGAAGTTCAAGGTACAAAGCATTTATGGCAGCATACTCAGTAAGAAAGGACAGTGAGGTAGCTATCCAGACCTATCTAGCTTGAAGTAGCTCTGAATTGGCAATCATTAATTTGGTGAGATTTTTATCTCCTCCTGAATTCTAGTTTTCTCACAAAGTAAAGCAATCTTTCACACAGCTGGAAAGTTTTGTTTGCAGAAGTCCTCAAACTTTCCTCAGATCTGCTCCAACAGTGAGAAATGCATAGCCCTACATCCCAGAGTTCCTGTTCCTCTGCCCTTTCACCCTGCATTGATCTTTACTTCTCCTTGGAGGGCATCATTTGAGTTCTTGAAAGTGTATTGTACATCTTGCTCACAAACTGTTTTTCTCTTATCGAATTTGACTTATCTGAAGGGCAGACTAAATGAGCTTCTATAGCTACTCTTGAAGCAACAATTGGACCTACTCTTACTAAATGTCTTTGGCCAAAAGAAATGAGAACAAATTACATCCTGCAATTCCAAAATACAAAAGGTTGCTGGGTGCAGTAATGCATGCCTGTAATTCCAAAGATGTGAGAGGCTGAGGCAGGAGGATTATAAGTTCCAAGCCAGCCTCAGCAGCTTAGTGAGACCCTGCCTCAAAAAATAAAAAGGGCTGGGGATGCAGCTCAGTGACAGAGGATTCTTGGGTTCAATCCCTAGTATTACATTTAAATAAAATAAAAAATCTAAAAAGCTATGAGAACAAAATTTTTGTTTTAACTCTTGGTGGCAAAACCTGACTTGACAAACTTATTTATAGTCCACTTCATTTCACTGAGTGTGATTATTGACCCCTTTCTCTAGAAAAAAAAATGTTTTATTACAGGGTGTTATCTAGTCTATGTTGCATTTTCTAAAATCTCAGAACAATTCTGAATTCTCACATATGTGACTTCCAGTTCTCAGAAAAGGGATTGTGAATAGATGCTGAATGTTGGTGTTTGACTAGACTACTGACCAAGGCAAACCCTTCCTATTCAGGTTCCTGACTTGGCTTGCTGGCTGACTCTATAGTTATAAGTGGACCTCAGACTGAGAAACCAAAATGATTCTAATTCTGTGAGACTATTCTATTCATAGACATCCTCTGAAACAATATAAGAAAGGATATTTCTCAAACATCAACTTTGAGAATTTAAAAATGCAATATTAAAAGACAATACCTCATTTTATTTCAAATATTGGAATGAGAGAGAGCAGTAAGTTTACTATTATAAATCCCAATACCAGAATTTAGGGAACACGAAACTCTCACCATTCACAATCTCATGCCCAAAAAACATCTTCACTCCTGGAACACTCCGGCCTGTCTCCACATTCTTCACTGTTATAGAAAGTAATTCATTTGATTAATATTAAATATTATTTTCCTAAAACTGAGAGAGGCAATATGATACTTTTTTAAATTGCTACTTTATGTCATATTATATGCTTAAAAGAGACAATAATCTGATTCCTAACTCTTCTGTGCGTAAGAGAATTAGGAGAAGTTTACGTGTCAAGTCCTCAATATACAGTCATGCTATCATTTTCTAGATGGAAGTACTATCTGTTTATTTCCACATCTCTCAGCAAAAATTAAAATAACTTGTTTCTTTTTTTCTTTCTTTTGGTACTAAGGATTAAACCCAAGGGTGCTTAACCACTGACCTGTTTATCCCCAGGGCTTTTTCATATTTTGCTTACAGATAGGGTCTTGCTGAGTTGCTTACAGCCTTGGTAAATTGCTGTGGCTGACTTTGAACTCATGATCCTCTAGCCCCAGCCTCCCAACCCGTGGCCTCAAACTTTCAATCCTGCTGCCTCAGCCTCCCAACTAACTGAGATTATAGGTATATGACACTGTGACCTATGGGAGACCTTGTGTTAAAAAAAAAAAAAAGACATAGTTTAGTGGTAGAGTGTCTCTGAATTCAATTCTCAGTTCTGAAATAAATAAAAATAAAATATCCCTCACCTTTGCCCAGTAATTTCATTTCTAGGAACTATTCCTAAAAAAATAGTTGTAAGTCCAAGTACAAAAAAGTTTAAGTCTTTTGCTTTACAATGTCCAATCATTAAATTGAAGTTTTAAATAACATGAGAATATGCTTCTTATAATATTAATTTAAAAACAGCAATTGGGTGGGGCTGGAATTGTGGCTCAGTGGTAGAACATTTGCCTAGCACATGTGAGGCACTTGGTTTGATCCTCAGTACCACATAAAAATAAATAAATAAAATAAAGGTATTATGTCCATGGACAACTAAAAAAATATTTACAAAAAAAAAAAAAAAAAAACCAGCAGCTGGGGCTGGGTGTGGTGGTTCACACCTGTAATCCCAGTGGCTCAGGAGGCTTGAGACAGGAAGATAATGAGTTCAAAGCAGCCTCAGCAAAAGCAAGGCATTAAGCAACTCAGTGAGACTCTGTGTCTTAATAAAATACAAAATAGGACTGAGGTTGTGACTCAGTGGTTGACTGCCCCTGAGTTCAATCCCTAGTACCCCCAGAATAATAATAAAATAAAATAAAATACAAAATAGGGCAGGAGATGTGGCTCTGGGGTTGAGTCCCTCTGAGTCAATCCCTGGTACCTGCCCCCTCCAAAAAAAAAAAAAAAAAAAACCAAACAGCTGATACAGTGGTTGACACTTGTAGTCCCAGCTACTTAAAAGGCTGTGGCAGAAGAATTGCTTGAGGCCAGAAGTTCAAGGTCAGCCTGGGCAACATAATGACACTCCTCCTGCTGTTTTTATTTATTTATTTATTTATTTTTGAGGAGGTACCAGGATTGAACTCAGGGACACTTGACCACTGAGCCACATCCCCAGCCCTATTTTGTATTTTATTTAGAGACAGAGTCTCATCAAGTTGCTTAGCACCTCACTTTTGCTGAAGCTGGCTTTGAACTTGAGATCCTCTTGCCTCAGCCTCCTAAGCTGCTGGGATTACAGGTGTGTGCCACTGTGCCCATGAGAATCCTGCTTTAAAAAAAATAAAAGTACCAACTCTGCAGGGCTGGAGTTGTAGCTTAGTGATAGAGCACTTGCCCAGCACATGTGAGGCATTGGGTTCCATCCTCTGCGCCACATAAAACTAACTAAATAAAGGTACTTGGCCCATCTACAACTAAAAAAATTAAAAAGTATATATGAACTGGGTGTGGTGGCACACACCAGTAGTCCCAGCAGCTTGAGAGGCTGAGGCAGGAAGATCACAAGTTTGAGGCCAGCCTCAGCCATTTAGGGAGACTCTGTCTCAAAAATAATAAAAAGGACTGGGTTTAGTGGTAAAGTAACTCTGGTGTCAATCCTCTGTACTATGCCCTACAAAAAAAGAGTACGTATGATAGATATAATTTATTATATCAACTATGTAAAATCTGTATAATCATACTGGGGAATGATATTGGTCAAATTATATTGTTATATCATGTGCATGTATAAATATGTAACAACAAATACTATCATTATGTATAATTATAATGCACTAATAAAAATATGTAAAAAAATCTTTATAATTAGCCTATTAAAAAAATACATCTGGACTAACCACCTTGGAAACAAGCACATGATATTTACTGCTTGTTGTTTACTCCATGCTTTTATTTTTATTTTTTTAGATGTTGGTGGATTTTTATTTTATTCATTTATTTATATGTGGTGCTGAGAATTGAACCCAGTGCCTCACACATGCTAAGCAAGTGCTCTAGCACTGAGCCACAACCCCAGCCCCTCCATGCTATTTATTCAGGTTTTCAATGTGTCCAATCTACCCTGCAGATAGGTATGAACTGTTGAACTTCCAGGACATTTCTTTAAGGGGAATGACTCAGATGAGAGAAACATCCTTTCCCCCTTTCCTTGTTTTCCTATCTGTAACTCTACCAGCTATCATTTGTCCTAGAGGTTTGAAGCCATGTGCTAAGGATAGTTGGGCAGAAAAAAAGAAAATGTTGGATCCTTGCTGACATGAGAGAAGTCGCAGCAACCCTGTGATACCTGTCTTTTTTTGGGGGGGTGGGGGGAGGTTAACCAGGGATTAAACTCAGGGGCACTCAACCACTGAGCTACATCCCCAGCCCTAATTTGTGTTTTATTTAGAGAGAGGGAGGGGCTCACTGAGTTGCTTAGCACCTTGCTTTTTGCAGAGGCTGGGTTTGATCAAAAGATCCTCCTACCTCAGCCTCCTGAGCTGCTGGAATCACAAGTGTGTGCCACCATGCCCAGCACCTGTCTTCTTCTTCTTCTTTTTTTTTTTTAATACGGATTTTTTTACTTTGTTTATTTATATGTGGTGCTGAGGATTGAACCCAGGGCCTCACACATGCCACGTAAGCACTCTACCACTGAGCCACAATCCCTGTCTTCTTTTATATGAGAGAATACATTTCTAATTTGTTTAAGCCACTGGATGCAACATGGCATGTGGATGTGGTAGTTTGATCTGTCAGGCCACACATGCAACCAGTCATGTGTGGCCTGACAGATCAAACTACCACATGCCATACACTCAAATGGAAGCTAAGTGTGATTCCCGACACAGCATTAAGGTTTTTAGGCAACTGCTAGGTAAAGTGACGAATCCCAGTAGCCCTAGCAACTTGAGGAAGCTGAGTCAGGAGGATATCAAGTTTGAGAACAGACTCAGCAACTTAGGCCCTAAGCAACTTAGCAAGATCCTGTCTTAAAATAAAAAATAAAAAGTTTTAGGGATGTAGCTCAGTGGTATAGGGTCCCTAGGTCCAATCCCTAGTACCAAAAAAAAAAATAATAATAATAATAAATATATATATATATATTAAGTTTTTTTAAAGGCAACTAACTTGTAAATTCATATGCTTCCCAATTAAAAATGTTTTATTATTCCTCACTGCCTTCAGAATAATGTTCAAACAGTATAATTTTCAAGTCCTTCTGATCTGCCCGATCTGCTTACTTCTCTATTCTTACCTCTCTCCATATCCTCATATTGAAATTTACTTAGGTTTTCTAAATGTCTTTATGTATGTGTACATACTCATACCTCTGCTTAGAACAGTAGTCCTCTAAAAGTGTGACTCAAAACACAGCATCCCTATCTATCCCTGGAAAATTTGATAGAAATGCAAAATTTTGGGCCCATCCCAGACCTTAACAGAAACAGAAACTCTGAGGATGTGGCTCACAAACTCTTGACTGGGGATATAACTCAGTTGAGAAAAATTAATGCTTTACCATCTTTGTGATTTGTCTGTTGAAGCCAAAAGCTTCTAAGTGATTTTTTATTTTTAATTTAAGATGTTTATGTAGAGAAAAGAAATACCCAATTAAAATTATATATTAGAAATTTCCACTAACACATCAATAAAAATATAGAAATGGGGACCAACTGGCACCTGCAACCATGCTGCTGTGTTAAGAAATATCTTATTTTCATCCCTCCCTAAAATAGGAATAATGTCACTTGTCCAGTTGCTAATGGAGCCCAAAGTCATCACTCATACTCAGTCATCTCATAAAAGGCAGAAGAATATGAGAAATAAGTAAGACCTTTCTTCAGGACAACAATCTTGTTAGGGTCCACATGCTGGAGCACGCCCTCGAAGATGCCACAAACCAATGTGAGTTTCACTCTTCTCCACAAAATCTGATTGAGGAAATGGTAGTCACTGCTGGGATCCATGCTCTTTGATTCCAAAAGAAGTCTTCAAATAATCTTCTTTAAGCATCCAAACACTTGAAAATTAATTAAGGAGATCTATGATTTTAAAAAGACTATTTTGAGTATTACTTTCCCTTCTCTCCTATTTGTAGGGATATAAATAAAAGAAGGAGTAATTTGTTTTTGTTCATCTTTTTAGAATGCTAATGAGAAAAGAACCATTGCAAGCACAACTCAAATTCATACAAGGGAAACTAAAAACTGTAAGACTTGGGGCAAGGGAGGCTTGACTCCTTTATAAGATGAGCATAATATCACCTTTCTTTCTACTGAAAGTGTAGCTAAATAGAACAAACAGAACATTTAGAGTTGCTTTAATGGCACACTGTGCTGTTTTTGACAAAAAAAGAAAAAAAGAATGAAAGAAACTGATATTGGCAAGAGTACTTTGCCACACATGTTGCAGTAAGTGTTTACCCAGAACTGTCTGGGATGTAACCTCTTCTGGATTAATATATTAAGAGTGTGACACACTGTTACCAACCAAAGTATAAATGTTAGAACTATCAGAATTTATGCATTACCATTTTGGCTTCCAAGATGTCACACTGAAAGGCCCATTCCCCATTACCCTGGCCATAGCTCAGGGACAAGGGTCCTTCCTATAGTGTCACCAACCAGTCATGTGTAGCCTGACAGATCAAACTACCACATGCCATACATTCAAATGTTTTTGCAAAAATGAAGTACTTTCAGGCTGGGCACGATGGTGCATGCCTACAATCTCAGTGGCTCCGGAGGCTGAGGCTGGAGGATCTCAAGTTCAAAGCCAGCCTCAGCAAAAGCAAGGTGCTAAGCAACTCAGTGAGACCTAGTCTCTTATTAAAATACAAGATAGGGTTGAGAATGTGGCTTAGTGGTTGAGTGCCCCTGAGTTCAATTTCCGGTACAAAAAAAAAAAAAAAAAAAAAGGAAAAATGAAGCACTGTCATTAGAATTATAACAATAAAGTACAAAGAAAAAAACTTCACCTTATAGAATAACTTTCATTTATAGTAAATGCTGTTAAGTTCTTCAGTGTTATACTATCATTTAAAAGATCAACTCTTTCTTTTTTAAGTATCTTATCCAACAAGTCTGTTATTTAGATGTCCTTGTATTTAGAACCCTAGGTAAATGTTTGTTGTACTACAAAAGCTGCTTATGGCTGGGTGTGGTAGCAAATGTGCCTGTAATTAACTAGCCTCAGCAACTTATACATACCCTGTCTCAAAAAATTTCTTTAAAAGACTGGGGTCAAGGAGGATATGGAGACTAAGTCCAAGGACATTCCCACCTATGCCTTTTCTAGGTAAAATTGAAGTTTTTGTCATTTAAAAGCCCAGACTTCAGCCCGAGTGAAGGAACACAAAGGGACTTGCACCTAACCACCCCCATGGGTCAGTTGACCCCAATACAATAAGTCCCAGGAAATTTCCTATTCACATTCCTATCTCACTCTAATGAATCAGCCCACCCCAATACAATGAACCCCCAAACTACCCTCCTGTCCCACCCTAAACGAAGCCTATATAACCCAGACCCTTGCTTCAGCCCATTGCCATTTTCTGCCCCCCCAAAAGAGCCACACCAGGGTTCTACCAATTGACTTTGCTGCTGAATCCTGAATAAAGAGAAGCTTGCAGGGCTGCAGTTGTAGCTCGTGGCAGAGTGCTTGCCTAGCATATGTGAGGCACTAGGTTCGATTCTCAGCACCACATAAAAATAAATAAAATAAATTTATTTTAAATTTAAGATAATAAAATTATCTTAAAGAAAGAAAAGCTTGCTGACTGAGGTTTGTCTCCTATCTCCCACCTTCCTCTCATTGTCTAGCCACCCCCAAGTATCTCTGAGATCCAGGAACTCATGCAGCTTCAGCTGAATCTCTAAACTGACTGCATTTCCTTACCCCATAGTACATAGGCCCTTCACACTCTCTGCTGTTCAGTTTATATAGAAAAATTTGGTATGTGAAACACAGGGGAGAACTCAAAGCAACTGAAAGCATCTGGCTAGGGCAACTCCCTAGTGTTGCATGAAGGCTTTGAATCTAAACTTCAACTACAACAGCCCTCAGGGGTACTAGATATCAATCACCTGCTAAACATTTGTGGCTTTATGCCACATGGACAGTAAAGGGATTTTTTTCTTTTTTGTGATGCTGGGGATTGAACTCAGGGCCTTGTGCTGCAAGGAAAGCACTCTACCAACTGAGCTATATCCCCAGCCCAGTAAAGGGATTCAACCAAACCCTTTGTTAACATTAAAGGAGGCCTACTTCTACTCCACCCTCCAACCTTGCACACCCAGCAAACCTCATAGATCAGAGACCTCCTTGCCATTTTGTTTCTGCATCCACCACCAGTCTCATCTTTCCATCACTCAATTACCAAATTGTTGGGAAAAGTATAACGGCAGCCGCACCCCAGAGAAAAACCCCAACATGGCGCCTAAGGACCTTCTCTTCCTACTTTCCTCTTTTTTTTTCACTGGCATGAAAAGTTTCCGCTGGTGTGAACTCTCCCGCCGGCGCCAATTTCAAATCTCGCTGGCGGGGAACCTTAGCCCCAATAAGAACTAATTCCTGGGCTCCGGAGCTGATATCTGGAAGAACTTGCCAATAAACGGGTGGCCTGCCATTTATCTAAGCCCTGCCATCTCTCCTTAGATCTATATAAGCACACAGCCTTTTGCAATAAAATTGGAATTCTCCCCGGCAAATTGTCTTGCGTGGAGGATTCTTTCACAAATATACTACCCTAGACCTTTATACTCCCGCTGATACTTTCTCCCTGTCCAATTTATCAGCAGATCTGCACCTGATACCCATAAAAAAATTAAACAGAGAAGGATGCCAAGGCTTCCCAGAAGCAATTTCTAAATATTGCTTTCAAGACCTTTAACAATAGGGAAGACAAGACCAAATAGGAGAAGGAAAAGTTTCTTAAAATTAAACATCAGCTCCTAGCCTCAGCCATCCATAGGCCTAAAAATCCACGGCTGCTCATGGCCCCACCAGACTTTCTAATACATCTCCTGCGTCCTGTTTCCCAAGTGGATGAACTGGACTTTGGGCAAAAGCTTGCCCTAACCTGAACCCTGCTCCCCAAGCCCTGTCCCAAGTGCAGCAATGGGGAACTGGAAGGTGGTTTGTCTCCAGAGCAAAACACCCCTCCCTTCGGTGCAGCCAGCTTCCCAAGTCCCATACACTGAATTGCTGAAACAAGAAGATCCAAATCTCACTGCCCCTGTCACCCCAGATAATATACCTTAGGAGCCTCAAGTTACAGAGATGGTGAACAGCCAAGTAGCAGGCAAATATTCCTCTTCTGAAGAAATTTTAAGGGTACAACTAGCTGGTAAATGTCCTTCCTTAACTTAAAATAATTATCAAAAGGTTAATTAGTATTTTCCTTTCTGAATGAGATCCCAGCCCCAAACCATGTAAACAGGAGCCTTATGTTAAGCCCCTACCCTCAACTTAAATTTAAGCAAAAAATTTAATGTTTGTCACTGAGAGGAAAATAACTCTAACCAGACCAACAAACAGTGGCATGTCTCAGTCCTCATTTTTTTTTAATATTTATTGTTTAGCTTTAGGTGGACACAATATCTTTATTTTATTTTTAATGTGGTGCTGAGGATCGAACCCAGTGCCTCACGCATGCCAGGCGAGCACACTACTTCTTGAGCCACATCCCCAGCCCTCAGTCCTTATTCCTAAAAGTAATGGGAGATAATGTTTCATTTTTCGCATCCAAACCTGGCCTAATTACCAACCAGGGAAGAAGGGTTAAAAAGCCCTAGGCAGCAATCTCCCTGGCCAGGCCACGCTGAAGCCTGCATTGGAAAGTAAACTGCAGAAGCCCCCAAGCCCGGTAGGGGACCCATCTGAAACTAAAGAAAAAAGAAGGAAAATATCCATTTAATATCTCCCTGGCTGCAACACAGAAAAATGACTTCAGGGCTCTCTCTCCCTTTTACTATCTCTTTCTCATTCTCTCATGCTGCTTTACTGTAATAATTAATGGCCATATCATTTTTTTCTAGGACTCTTGTTTTTTAAATTCTATATTCTTTTGAGCTCATGATTTTGACTCTGCGTGTTTAAGTTAAAATTTCTGATCAGACCTATTTTATCCAACTATAAAGGTTTATTATCCTCTGCTTTACTCAGAAGCCAATTTGTGAGGGTTGGCTCTTAATCTAATAGGTTTTAAAAAGCTATAAGGCCTTTGCTTGTTTGTTCTGTGTATTATCTTGTCTACATGTGTTTGTGTATCAAAACTAACATATAAAGTGCTTACAAACTAAAATTCAAAAATATGGATCCAAATACATTTGAATCACGTGATTTTAAAAGTTCGCTTTAAAACTGAGTAAACAAATGAGAATAAAGGGTGTCTTTAAAGTTACTAAGTAAATGATGTTCAATATACTTGTCTGATACCTTGATTCTTATAGGCTCAGCGGTAGAGTGCTTGTCTAGCATATGCAAGGCCCTGGGTTCGATCCTCAGCACTACATAAAAATAAATGAATAAAATAAATGTATTGGGTCCAACTACAACTAAAAAACAAATATTTTAAAAAATATTAGATTTCACATATATGGGATTAATCTTCATAAATGTGTTTGTTAGAAGCATTGATTAATTTGCAAAGTTAAAATGCTGTTAAATATAACATCAAGTACTCTTCTTGAATTCCATGGGGTGATATACTTGAACATTGTTTGTTTTCATGAATTGATAAACAAGCAGATGTGATACTATACACACACAGGATTAAAAGATAGAAAAGAGAAATTAGAAGATTCCAGGTATGGAAATATATTTAATAGAAGGAAAAATGTTTCTGGGTAAGAAAGTGTTTGTGTGATGAAATAAACAACATGAGGATCTATGCAAGGGCAAATTTCAATAAAGTTGGTTATATATATATTTGGAACAATCAAAGCATTTAAGTTTTTCCCCTAAGGTCAAATACTAATGTACTGATATAAAATCAAGATTTAATCTTTATGTTAACGTGACAAGGATTTCTTAAAACATTAATTAACTCTTAACATTGTGTCTGTTAAGTTTTACTTGTTAAAGCAACTAATTTAAAGGAATTAAGATCTATA